CTCCCCCCAGCTGCCCCTCCTTTGCCCTCTGCTGAGAAGGCAACCCCTCCACCTGCTAGGTTTATGAAAAGCCCCAAATCCAGCTCTCCTGCTCCCAAACCCAAACCCAGGCCCCCCAGCCCAGAGGACACAGGATCTTCAGAGAACACAGCCTCTTCAGAGCCCGTGGACTGGCGGGACCCCAGCCAGATGGCACAGCTTCGGAGCGAGCTGGCAGCCTACCTCTTTGGCTCCAAGAGAGAGGACCGAGGCACCAGTCACAGGCCAGGCCCGACGGCGGCCTCCCCAGGAAAGGAGGACAGGAAGGGCCCCGGCCTGATGGAGAAGGAGATCCCCCCAAGTGGTCCTGAGAAGAGTCCCCGCCCAGACAGAGAGGTCACGGCCAGCCTGCCCCTGCCCCTGCCTCTGCCCCCTGCGGACTACGCCCCCCAGGACTCTCCGCTGCTCAGTGTCCAGCAGATCCGGAGTGAGCTGGAGGCGCGGCTTTCGGCATCTGCGGAGAAGGACCCCAAGCCCAGCATCGGGTCTCTGCCCCCCAAGCCTCGGCTAGAAGCGGGGAGAGCCTTTGAAAACAGAGCTGCTAATGGCCAGTGCTCCAAGCCCGCGGCCAAGAACACGCCACCACTCTCCACCACCGCCCAGCCAACCACACCGCACCAGTCCAAGGCCATGCCTGGGCCAGCCACACCACCCAAATCCACACCTGCTGCAGCCGCGCGTGGGCCGGCCACACCACCCACAGCCACCACCCTGCCCGCCGCGTCATTCCCAATGACAGAGAAGAAACTGGCCCCAGCCGAGCAGAGGAAGAAACCAGAACCCCAAGAATTCGCAGCGCCTTCCCAGCCAGAGGCAGAAGGGCGCCCCTCGGAGGCCAGGAAGCCTCCTACACAGGGAGCCCTGTCCCCTCCAGCCCTCCCACCAAAGATGTCCCCTGGGAGAGAAGAGGCGAGCTGCCTCTACAAACCCCATCGCAGCCAGAACAGCCCCAGCCGCGAGGTTGCCGTGGTGATGCCCACCATGGCCAGAGGAGCGGCTGCGGGGTCA